ATATATAATCTATATTATTATACACACACACATTATATATATATATATTTACATACACACACACACACACACACACACACACACACACACACACACACTTTTCCACTCTTGCAGTCAAATTTGAGAAAACCCCTCTATATGTTCAGATGTTCGTTATGTGTTACTATTCACACAGCATACTAAAAAATAATAAATCAATTTTAAAAAATTCTTACATTTTAGATTTTTTTGTTAAATCAGGCAAGATGGCGGATTCCAGGTTTTTATTACCCCCTTCGCAGTGATCTATCCCAATGGAAAGTCTTGGGACTGAAATTTCAGGGTTGTGTTTAAATTTAAACTGCAAGAAACATTATACATTTTTTTAGCTTATGCTATGTGAATGTGAATGGGAACATGTAACAAATATAAAATAGGTGTTATCCCAAATTGGCTGCAAAAGTGGAAATACACTTTGAAAGGTGTTACTGGATGTTTAAAATGTGCATCAGTAATCTTCTGTGTAGTTGCAGATTTGAAGCTCTCCTTTGTTACTGGAATCCTTCATTTCGACAACACTTTCTTCCTCTGGCAAGAGGTTTCCGACTCCCAAGCTAGTAAAGTGAGACAAAACTACATAAGAAATCAGTGAACCATTTGATGCCCTAAGTTGAACGGGGTGGGTGGGGTGTGCGTTATGGGGGGTGGAAGCAGTTGTTGGCTTTGACACTGTGGCCCATTCTTTTTTCTTGTGCCTGCGTTCCGCGTGCGGGTGATTGCAGTGTGGGCGTGGGGCTTGGCTGCGGTGCCATTGACTTCAATACAACACCACACCCCCTCCCGCAGGCAACCGGACGGCTTACAATCCAGTGCGTTCTAGAGGCCGAACACTCTGGAACGCAGACTGTGAGTCGACCCTCTCTCTTGGCTGTCTCTTCTTTCTCTCTCCCCTGTTTCTATCTGCTGTCTCTTGTCTCACTTTCTCTGCTGTCTGTCTTTTCTTTATTCCACTGCAGCAGCTTCCCAGGTCTCCTCTCGTGCGCCGGTGTCCTGTCCTCCCGCGGTGCTCGTGTGGCCAATGTTGCACACGGGGAGAGGTGTCCCGCCCCTTCCCGTCTTCGGCGTCTGACACATTCAGCCAGCAGCCGCACGAGCAGCACAGGAGCAGAGCCACAGCTAACTCCTTTTGCGCCCGAGGCAAGAAAAAAAACGTTGATCGCTCCAGTGTTTGCTCTGCACATATCACTGATATGTACCTATCCTCCGCCACTCTGCCAGGCACAGAGCTCAGCCTGCAGCTTTTCCTCTGGATCCCCGCTGCTCTTCCCCACCTGTATGCAGTGGGGATCCGAGGAGAAGTGAAGGAAGCGCTGAAGCCGGCAGGGGGCGTTGTCACAGCATCATGGCCGAGCGGTGAGGAAAGAGAGCCGCCGAGCGGCTCTCCTCACCGCTCGGCCATGCTGTTGTGATAGCGGCTCCCTCCTCAGCCCCTAGCCCCCCGCAGCGCTTCCTTCATTTGTCCACGGATCCCAGCTGCATACAGATGGGGGAGAGCAGCGGGGATCCAGAGGAGAAGCCCCACTTCACCCTGCTGGCTGAGCCTTGGATGCGCCCCACCTACGCCCATGGCGAGAGGCTAGCTACGGCCCTGGCAGAAGGACGGGACACAGCCGATCGCGATCTACCGGTGTTCGCTTTGCGACCGACTGGTAGATCGCGATCGACCTAATGGGGGCCCCTGTATTACATTTTTGTTTTTGGGTTTAGATACGCTTGAAAGTATAAAGGGCTATACATAATATGTTGCAGTTAAGGGAAGCAATTGCTTTAGGAGCTTTTACACGACAGCACCATTCATAAAATACAGTGATGGCTTTTTCAGTAAGAACACAAGCCATTGTGATAAATCACGATTCAGGTGGCAAAAAAATGTCCATTACCTTGTGTGTAAATGAAGTAGAAAAGCATTATTGTCAGCCTGAAGATTCAGTAAAAGGTTTACGGTTCTTTAATTCAATAAAAGCTTGCCAGAGGTCATTACTGCCTGTTTTTACATACATAAAACACAAATTATTTGCTATATTAAGGAACATGTGCTATATTTGGCACATTCTGTATTAATGTTTATGTACGATACACACCATTTCACTATGTACACAAAACACATATAACTTACACCTATTATCCAAAGCCACAAATTCCACAAAGAATGATACACTTTAGATCCTGTAATTACTGCACCTCTTTCATGACTTCTAGCACCGATTTAGCCAAGGGGTCGGCATCTGACCTGTTTCTCTTTTAAAGGAACTGCTGTTCTCTAAAATGTTGGGATTATCTTTACATCATACCCTAAAAAGTAACATGTTTTTAGTATAACTGAATCTCAAGTCTGATTCTGATCAGATTCATTTTGCATAATAAGACACTGAATTACAAATACAGCCCATGCAGTTCAAAGCAGCAAGTTGACTTAGCTGCCACCTTTCCCTTTTGCACATAACCATTTTCCCGGAATCCACCCACTGCTCAGTTTGGCTGAAAAGAGAAAAATACCCAATACTTCTGGGGATGGCGATCATGTGACTCCCCTCCCATGTGACCGTGCTTGATCATGGCCGCCACATCACCCAACGCTATCACAAAGAAAGAAAGAGTCCCAAGTCTGCTCCAAGACTATTAAAGGGGAACTTTATCTATATCTTTGAAATGAAAACAAATAAACCTTTAGAAATGTTTAGTAATGGTAAGCGGCAAACAGATACTTATAGATAATTGCCGGCTTTTTATTCTTTGCATACCTTGTTTTTCTTTTTCTCCCCATTCTTCTGACAGTGACCATTTTTACTAAGGGTAGATTACTTCATCTCTCTTTACTTCCTGGAACTCTGGCACATGTGACCATGCACATCATCTCAGGGGAGGAAAATGACTTTCCCTGAGATCTTGTGAGATTACAGATAAGATTTCCCCAACAATGCTCTGCTGATGTAACCAGGATGTATCTCTTGGGCACAATAACATCATTTGTGCCCAAGTGGACCAGGAAGAGGAAAAAAGAAATTGTAAGTACAATAAAAATATGTTTTTTTAACTAATGAATGTCAGATGATTTCATATCAGCATGCAGAGCTGCATGTGATTTTTAGTGAAAGGGGGTAAAGGTCCACTTTAAAGGTTACAAAGGAATGTGAACAGATGAAACACACATTATATTCAACTGATATTAGTATGATTTATTGAAATAATAAAATAAACAATATAACCAGAAAAAGAAGTAAACAATATTTATGACAAAAGATTCTGAACTTGTTGTGGAGATCTGTGTAGAATGCTTGTTGGCTCTTTGTAAATATTTGCGGGATTCATGACAGCATCATAAATTTCCCTGTAAGCTTGACATACCAGTTCTGTGGACTGTTTAATTATCTGATCCCTGCAAAGAAAAATCAAGAAAAAAAGACCAATTAGGAGTTAATACAGTAAGTGAGTTAGAGAATATTTGAAGAAGGTGACATAGGGCTGAATGATGACCTAATGTCTGTCTACTCCATTAGAGCCTGTTTAAAACTGTATCTAATGCCTAAAATTTGTTTCTGTTTTGGACAGAATGGGGCAGCGTACGTCCCTGTCACTAAGTGCCCAAATGTACATGAGCAGCTATCTGGTGCTCTGTAATGCCAGTAACCGCTGATTCTCAGTAGTGAGGCATCCATTAATGAAAGAGTTACGCTATTACAGACACCCAATCCCTTTTAGGAATCGGGTGTCTGACAGTAATAGCAGAGCTGTATTTACCGCACTTGCTGTCACTGTCTGACAGCTGGTACAGATCGGGATTAGGAAATCCCGATCTGTACCGGCTTTTTGCTAAATGTTTCACAATAGAAACATTAAGCTACATGTTTCTATTAGGAAACATTGTTTCAGACTTCTGATTGTTGTGGGAGCGATCAGAAGCCTTTAATGACACTGGTCCTGATACGCTGCAGGATCAGAATGTAAGGGTCAGTGTCGCCAAGGTTATTAATAGCTGCTCCTAAGTTTGGAGCAGCCTAATAATAAACAAAAATTAGTTAATTAAATTAACCAGCAGTCATAGTGAGATTCATTCACAATGACTGCTTGATATAATTGAAAATAAATAAACGTGTAAACAATGTAAAAATAAAGTGTAAAAAAATACAGTTAAAAATAAAATTTATATATAAAAATAAATTTTTATACTATCATTTTTATAAAAATTAATACATTACAATGCAAATCTGCAGCAGAGCTGCAGATTTGTGTTGCACCCTAAAGGGTTCATTTTTTTAATTTAAGCCCCTCATGACAGCGATGTTCAAAGTATGTCGCTGTCATTGTATGCCAATTACTTAAAGCCAAATTCTAGACTACTTATAAATATACCCATGCTCCCCCAACCAAATAACCTGTTTGACATTCTGGAATAAGACCAGGCCCTCGCCATCCTCCTGTACATGGGTGTTTAAGGATTCCTGCAGCAAGAACCCACAGATATTGGCATCCGGAATTTCAGGTGGGTCCATACAGATGTGGCCGCTGTGCCCAATCAAGTTAATGACAGGGTGACAGCGGCAGCATTTGTCCGTGGCTGACTGCATGTAATCATACACGAGCACAAGGAAGCATGAGCATTTACCACATGCAGTGCGGAGGGTAGGACCCATGCAGTTCCGGTGTAAATCAACCAGGAGTTGGGCTCCACTAAACACTATTTATTTATATTTAAATTGGTCGAATAACATAATCCACTAAAAAATTTTTTCTCATTTTGCCTGTTTTATTGTACATGAGCGGAGCAGTCAATCAATATGATGTCGTGGTAAAAGTGGCCACAGGCACAAAGTAATATTTTTAATGTGGCCCTGAATGGCATACGGAAATTACAAGACAGGGGTATAAAATGTGTTATTTTACCATGTTTAGCACTTTAAAAAAAATATTTTGCATTTCCATTAGATCTGAGCTCTTTAAATGATATAAAAAATAATGTATATCATAATAATATAAGCAGTATAATTCAATCTGGCATATTCTGAATAAATAATAAAAAAAACACACAACACATCCAGGGATAAATACATAAATTTTTTTACGGTAACACAGCATTTTCTATGAACAGATAAGACTTGAAGGTCGTTGCATGTCAGGCACTGTACAGAACAGTCAAGACATTGAAAGCGTAAGAAGTCACAAAAAATGTAAGCTCCTAGGAAACAATTACACACTGTAGGATGACGACCTTCACTTTAAGGCAAAGCGCATTGGAAATGTGTAAAGAGAAAGAAGTCCTGTATTCAACTAATTGTTGAATGTAATGGAGAAACGAAGCTTAAAATACAAATAAAAAAATAGTTCACCATAAAATTCAACTAAAGAAAAATCTTTACAAAAGTGAAAAGGAAATAAATAATAAAATGTAGCATGTATTCCAGAATAGGTACAAAATGTCTGCTTAATATATAGCAGAAAATCCTTCTCCTATGTGAACCCGCCTTGCTAGGTATAACGTGTTTAGGCTACGTGCCATATTCTCTCTTTTCCGTCTTCTGTTCGCGTAGGAACAGCTTCTCTCCCATTAGAAGGCATGCAAAAGCAGCTTTATGGCCAAATGCAGGTTAGAAGGAGGTTAACTGCAGGTTAATTGTACAGGTCAATGAATTCTGAATTATCTCAGAAGTGTCTCAAACTGATGCCAAAAGAACACTGCATTTGCCCATTAACACAAGTCCAAAGCCCATCGACACAGCCCCAAATATTGTCACTCAGGTACCCTTGGTAAGTCCGGATCTCTCTCCAATGTCACTGTACCTTTCAGTCAGAATGAAATGAACATAAAGGTAGACTCTGCTCTCAAATATTCATGTCTCCTGGACAAAACAATGTATTTTCGAAGTAACACAGTGTCTAGGATGCCCAAGCACTTTGATGTGTCTGTGTGCGTGTAAAACCAATTACACAGTGGGCTATAGCTAGTGCATATTCTGGGAGATTGTTATTATTATCATTTAACATTAGAGAACATTTCCATTCACCAGGCATGTTCACATGGTAAAGTGCTTTGGCTTGAGCCCATGATCCTTCAATAAAGAGTCCCAGCCTTGTTCTCGATGGGACCTCCAATTGTAGTGGTCATAGCACTGCTCATCCTAAAACCTACAGCTTAGTTATGCACAAATAAGCTTCATTTTTGTTAATAGTTAAGGTACTTAAATGCATTTTAAAGGTTTAACTCCCGAGTTTAGGGTCACTTCAAAATTAATTTTAATCACCTCAAGGAAACCTATTATAATGCAGTCTAAGCCCCTAAATGAAGTAACAGTGAATAAAAAAAACATACTTAAAAATAAGTAAAACAACATTTGACTCAACGTGATTACAGATTATGCAGAAATAGTCTCAGGTCTATCATATAATTTTTGCTATCGCGGGGCTCCTCACCAACATGCTTCTGAACCCCGGTCTTAGAGTGCTAAAAGCAAGTGACACAGTAGTGCAATGTCCCTTTCAAATTTGGGATTTAATCAACTCTACTCCAGAAGCTTCATATAACACCGAGATGTGTTGTTCAGCTAGCTGCTGCTTGACATGAACATTACATATCAATCTAGGTTTACACATGATGGTACATACAAAATATGTTGTTTCACGTGCATTACTTTATTCCCATAAATGTGCAGACTAAACAACCCTGTTTTGGATATGCAAATTTTGACTTTGTCAAAACCCAACATTGAAGCCCTCATCTCATCTCTAACAATGCCCACGGTTTGCTCATGAATCCAGAGAGCAGTGACACATGACTGTCACAGGAAGGGTAGTGGTGTCATTGATACGCAGGCTGCGACTGACACCCTGGCTTCCAATTCTATTTGCTATGTTAGAGATAAGATGGTGGCTTCCAATAGAAGAATAACTGGGATCAGAACAGACTGGAGCGGAGTTCTTGGTCACTGATGTTGCACTGATGTGACTTGTTAACCCCTTCCTAATAATGTACACGTTATTATTGCCAAAACTGTGACAAATGTGTCTTTTTTAAATTATGTTTATGCAGTTTTTTTTTTTTTTTAAAGAATTTATATACACATATGTCATATCAAATTGAAGTCAATGTTGTCCCTTCAAAAACGGTATATTATATGTGTAGGTGCAATGCAAGAGGAAGATGGAAATTATGGTTAAACAAACACATAGCAAAAATGGCAAAATTGCTCCGGTCCACAGGAACTAAACAATTTTCTGAAGCTGTGTCACTAAGGGGTTATAAGGGTGGGCATTTAAAGCCGATAGACTGCACAGATGGCTGGTCTGCTTTGAATCAAACATATGCATGCTAAAAATGCCATATTACCATCTAATGTATTTATGTGTAACAATCATGGGGCTACTCTCTCATACTAGTTGAAAAGCACAGATATGTAATTGGAATCTGTTAGTTTATCAATATATCTGTGGCTGGGATTTTGTCATCTCCTTTTTGACTTGCAATACAGGGGTCAAAATTGAAATGTATTACTAAAAAGTGTAAATTCTAGTTGCTGGGACAAAGTTTGGGCAAAAAGAGAGAGACCTCAATATATCCCTTCATTTTTCTTAGCGTTTCATTTTCCCGCTTGGTCACTGGAATACATAACTGCTTATTGAATTCTGTAACTAGCTCTTTGGATGTACCCTTTTGCTCAACAATTTTGTATGTTAACCAGTTGACATCCGCGGTGTTAAACCCCCTTCCCATCCAGGCCATTTTTCAGTATTCAGCGCTGCGGTACTTTAACTGACATTTATTCCGTCATGCAGCGCTGTACTGAAATGAATTTTATACCCTTTTTTGGGGACAGATAGAGCTTTCTTTTGGTGGTATTTATTCACCACTGGGGGTTTTATTTTTTTACTATATTAAGGAAAAATTACCGAAATTTTAAAAAAAAAAACAGTTTCCCCTATATTAAATGATAAAACATATATTATTACCCAATTTTTTGGTAAAATATAAAAGATGGGGTCACGTCGGGTAAAAATTGAACAAGTACCGTGTTTCCCCGAAAATAAGACCTAGTACTATTAGTACTATAAGACCTAGTACTATTTTTGGGAATTGCTAAAATATAAGACCTACCCCGAAAATAAGACATAGTTGTGACCATTCCCAGGGCTGGTAGTGGCATAAGGGGGGACCTGGAGAGGCGCAGGAGAGATTCAGTGGTGCCAACGAAGCCAGCGCTAGAGAAAGCGAGGCGGCCCTGCAGGGAGCAGAGCTGCACAAGCCGATGCTTCCTCTATAGCGCACAGCTCCTTTCACAGGTGGAGTGATACCAAATGCGAGCAATCGATAGTGAAAGCGCACTTCGCTCATTCTGGTTACCAAATTGCTCTTGGAAAGGTACGGCACCCCCGATTGTCCTGATCACCCTATTCTTAACTTTGCCATTTTGGATTATTTAATTTGGATTTGCATTAACTTTGGATTGTTGTACATTAAAAAAAAAAATAAGACCTACCCCGAAAATAAGACCTAGTGTGTTATTTTGAGCCGAAAAAAGACAGTGCCTTATTTTAGGAGAAACACGGTATACCGGTGAAACTCGAATAATTAGAATATCGTGGAAAAGTAATGGCAGTAATTGCTGCAAAAGGGGCCCAAACCAAGTACTGAGTACATATGCATGCTTGTACTTTTATGTACAATCCTTGTTTTATTGATTGCATGTAATATTCTCATTTTCTGAGATTGTGGATTTGGGGTTCTTGGGGTTTTCATGAGCTGTAAGCCATAATCATCACAATTATGACAAATCACGGCTTGAACTATCTTGCTTTGCATGTAATGAGTCTATCTCATATATTAGTTTCACCTTTTAAGTTGCATTAGTGAAATAAATGAACTTTGCACGATATTCTAATTATTCGAGTTTCACTTGTATTTCAAATTACAATAAATGTGTCTTACATTTAACATCTGCATTTAATCGGAAGATAAAATTTGAGTTGTGATTTTTACATTTAAAAAGAAATATGGTTTGGCATTTTGGGATAAATGTGGTACAATAAATACACTGTATATGCTATTTACAGCTTATGCCATTTCATCTTCTAAATATAAATATACTTCCCACATTAAAGCATCACAAAATCAAACCTGTCTGGAGTCTTAATATAATGAAAGTCTCCCTCACTTCATGTTATGTGGGGTCTGGTTTGCAGCAGACTGCAATGTGTGCCTGTGCAGGGTAAATCATTTGATCTGATAAAATGGTGCTATATACACAGTATAGTGCTCATGTGTACCATTCTCCTTTTTGCTAGTTTCAAATTGATCTGAGCGGCTACAATTTTTTTTACATCTTTGTATTTGATACAGACACACAATGAAAGTCTTTAGTTGCCTTACCAAGGTGATGTCTCTGCTTCCAGTGTTTTGCTCCAGACGAGTCTACTCTCAGTTTGTGCAATGTTATATATGCCCCATAGTTGGGGATAGTTTTGCATTAGGGACCACATTTTACAGAGGTGCCCTGGGGCACAGAAAGGATTGGTGGATCTCATATGTTATAGCTTCCTCTTGTTCCCGAGTTGCCACACTACACTAAATAAAGAAGAGGAGAAGAATACGAGGGCATGGAGCAGAGGCTTACGGTAACAGTGTTTACACCAAGGCCTTGGTCAATGCCCAGCTACAATTTATTGGCAGCCTCAACGTTACAATGAGCAGGTGATATCTTTGGCACCCTCTAGCAGATGTTATTGACACTGTAGCTAAAGCGGAGAGTGATCTGCAGCAAGCCTTCATTTGGCATGTAGGGCTTTGAAAAATATAACATGGAATCAGTTACTGGGCAGACCATGAACAGAGAAATTATTAAGGGGATAGTGCTTCATGTTATGGTGGAACGGGAGATAGGCTGTGAGAGCATCAGGGATGGCGGAGCAGGATAGGTTAGGAGGCAGCAGATAATAGCTATCATAAAGGTGGGAACAAGAATCATTAACAGTAAAAAGGGATGAGTTAAAGAGGCATCTATATTAAGTGATGGCAGAGTGTTAAAGGAAAGGTAGGTAGTGGGGATCAGTAATGGTAAAGCAAGATGAAAGACTGGGTAGTTGAGACAGGGACACTGGGTGCAGGATGGGAAAGCAACATCTAGGTTTCAGTGACAGCAAAGTTCAATGGGAGAGGAGGCACAGAGGATCAGGGATTGTGGATCAGAATGGTAGAGGTTGGAACCTGGGACTAGCAGAATAGGATAGGACCAGTGAGGAAAAGATGAGAGGAGACTGCAATAATCAGTAATGGCAATTTGTAATGGAAGAGGGAAGAAAGGAGAGACCACCGATTCTGAAAAGGTGACTGAGGCTTTGGGGACATAGTAGGGATCGGAGGAGACAACAGGGGCCAGAAGAGAGATGAGTGAACTCAATACAGAAAAAAAAGCTTGAGTGTTTTTTATGGATTGAATTTAACATTTACACTATGTATGTTCCCTTTTCCTTTCAACATCTGAAAATATGATAAGAACTTAATAAATATGGGACAGTCATTAAGAGCACAGTGGAAGGACTTCATGATCAATGTGCCCTGATACTTGGCACAAGTATGACATACACACAAATGGATTTTTACTAATGTACTATGCAGACACAATAAGTCAAACTGTACCGGCTGCCCTGCAATAATGCTTACAGTAAATGCAATATTTTTCCAATCTTGCCCTTTGGGTCAATGTAACCTTCCTCTGCCAGAAGACTTAATAAGCTGGAAGTTTATGAAAGTTTGACGCAAAACATGGTCACACCACAATAAAAGGTCTAATGAGTCTAGGACAAGACAAATGTTTGTAGTGAAAGTATCTTTGTCTCGAACACAGAGACCCACGCTACATGTTTACATGTTAAACACAGGATCATATAATGATGTGCTCATTCCCTTTATGATTAAACAAGTAGAACAATACATTGGTGTTTGCAACTAAACAAAGAAGTGTCACAGACAGTCCTAATTAATACCTTAACTGTTCAATGTTAAGCTAGCCATAAACTTGGTGTTACTTCTCTTTCAAACTCACAAGGCTGAGTGAGAAAAAAAGTGATCAATTCTCCCATCCGCGATGAACAGCATGAAAGAGGGAATCTTCCCTGCCAGCTGCTGTAATTTGATAGCCAGCACTGGCAGCTTTCAGAATACCAGAACAGTGACTGCCGTCACTGTTTGGCTGACAATTTTCCGCCCAGCTTTTACCTGCCATTTTTTGAGTCGGTGATGGTGTCTCCGTGTTTTTTTTAAACTTCTATATTTGGCATAGTACTGGAAATAAGCAAGGGATTGCCTATAAATTTTACATTATGCACTATGTTAACACAAGTTACAGTACATTAAAGAGAACCTGGCATTAAGTATAAAAATTCAAAATTGCAATACCTGGAAAAGAACCAATGAACTATCTACGGAGTCGTGTAATGTTGTGTAGGTCAGCGTGTTAAACTACTGAACACTGCAGAGGATCCAGGAGATTGACACTCCCAGCAGTGTTGGTTTCCCTTTGCACTTCAGCTGTGTTGTAAACAGAGCAGTGTTCCAGCAGTGCAGGTAGTAGAAAAGGTATTAATTACTTGCTTCTTTTCCAAGTATGGCCATATTACATTTTAATACTTAATGACAGGGTCCAATTAGGGCAATCTGTGTTAACTGTGTAGCCCATTCATTTTGATATTTTAATATCTCACTTGGGTAATAATGACAAAACAGGTTAGAAAATCTTGTCCAATTGCTATTAATTTTACCTGTTTAGCCAGAACCAGATGTGTCTGCAGCATGTCCTGACCCACCCTCCTCCACAAGCACAAACCCGCCCCTTAATAGGATTATTTGTTGTTTGGGCTGCCTTGACCACTACAGATGTCTAAGGTGGTCAGATGCACAATCATGTCCAACAGCCTTCTGATGTATATGAACAGCTTACAAAAAAAGCATTTTTTAAGTTCTGCCTTGCAAAGGGAAATAGATGCTGATAATAATGTAAACAGAAAAGTTTTAAAGGTTTCAGTAGTAAATAATGTCACTTACTTCACAGTGGCGCTGAGGAAGAAATTCAACTGTGGCATCTGAAGATTATCTGGAGCCGCCAGGTATCGGTCAAACTGCGCCTAAGGTAATTAACAATAAAGAGATTAGAAGTTCAGGCAGAACCTCATTTACGTACAACCCTTTATGATCAGGTGACTGGGAAAGCTCTGCATACAGAAACTGCTGCCCAACCAATTTGTTTGCATTCTGAATTAGTTGTGGCTTATTAGTAAAAACGTGATACAAAACAAAAAAACCCACAAAAAGCATGCTGCAAATGATTCTGCTTTTAGCAAATCTGGTGCATTCATGTATGTAATACTGATAAATTCTTCAGGACCTGATAGATGATATAATATCGCTCTACAGAAGACAGAATTATATATCAAAAGTCCACCTTCCACAGCAGCTTAAAGTCTATGCCACCTCTGTGTTTACATAAAATTCAATTAGCAGTTAAATATATTATTTTTTTACTGTGGAAAGGAAAATGGACCACCCATCCTCCTTCCAGACAGTGTTGAGGGTTTAATCTGATTGGCTGGATACAACGTATAATTTTCTTTCCTTCCAGTTATCTAGCAATAAAGAGAATTTGGAGTTTTAGTGATACCCTTTATTGGCAAACCTAAGTAAATAAACTTCAACTCCAGGCTGTTGTTAAATTTACCCATGTAGTTTGGTCTCCCACTGCAAGGGTTAAATGTTTGTTTAACTTGGGGGGGGGGGGGATAGGTTACTTCCCTTATTCCTTGCTTCCCTTATTCCTTGCTTCCCCAGAGACAAGCGCTCTCCACCAATTTACTATGCTCTGGAACATGGTAGGCCCCTCACCGTCCTCCCATACAATGCAGGACTGCCAGTTCTCCAAGGCATGTGATGATGCACCACTTGCACAGAGAGGAAGAAGCCCGAGGGAGCGAGGAACAAGGCAAGTATTTGTACATATTCCTTTCCACCCTAGCCAAACAAGCATTTAACTTGTATAGTAAGAAGCGGTCAGCTGCTAGAACACACTGTATTGCATCTGAAATCTGAATTCCAGGACAAGCAGTTATTGTTTAAACACAAAAGTCATGCTTATCGTTACTTGAATCTTGGTGAGCTTTGTGTATTTGTTCCAGATCTGTGCAGTAATCCAGTGTGAAACTTTCCTCTGTGCAGGAGCTTCCTGTAATATAGACCAGTCACTGCTGCTCTCTTTCCATGTGCAAGGTGACTGGTCTCGCCTATGCCCCTGCTGTAGTTTTCTGCAGGCAGTAGTGGGTGGGGCCTGATTGGCCCCTCCCAAAGCTCTGCTTTGAGCACAGACTTTGTGCAGCTCAGTGATAAAGTCACTGCTATTTTACAAGACAATATCTTGCAAAGACATTTGGTGCACACAAAGTGGAATGATATCCTAAAGAGGACAAATAAAAGGGGTCATTAAGGCTGCTACTTATTAAAACAAGGAGAGGGTGGAATTTCAATTATTGTACAGTACAAGTAATTGGTCTATATTACTCCACTGTTTGAATGCACTAGTGGCTTCCTGGACTGCCGATTTCTTTATTGTGCTTTGCTGCGAAGAGGTAGTTAGTAGCAATGATTAGAAAATGCCAAGTAAAAGTAATTCTATATGTGATCATTAGGATGAGAGTGCAGATGTATTCATAAAAAACTAGAAAGTAAAAACTCGGTAAATATGTATACCATTGCAGCCTTCAGTGACACAGAGTCCATATTAGGTAGGTTGGCCAGCGGCCCCTGCAATAAGAAACAAAATCCTTTATATATATATGTTATAACACAATGGCTTCAAAACCTTCCAATTAATAAACCAAAATAAAACTGAACAAAAAAACATTCTACTTTCCCTTAATAATTGTGTGCATCAATGTAATATTACTACCATATTACATGTTTCTGTGTATTTTATAATAATAAAGGGGTTCACATTACAAACTGCAGATCAGCAACAAGACTTAACACAAGAGAAGAGGTCCCCGCTTCATCAGATAGCTGAACTCACTTAATTTGCAATCAATCTGTCCAAAGGTGGTATTTTAGTTTTTGGTAGATGCTGGAGAGATAAACCCCCCAATAATTTATTACACAGTGAGATATCTAGCAACAGTTCTCTAGGCCTATACCCCAGGCATGATAATTACAACGGCAGGGGGCCCACTCTCACTGTTACATTTTCAAATAATTTCATATCATGGAAAAGGCAACAGTGGGAACATCCATTTTGTAACAGCAGATGTGAGACGGCATGGGAAGAACAATGGCAAGTAGAGCCCCCTCAATAGACAGAAGAAGACAGTGGGTGATGCGAGTCATTACACAACACCTGTAACTGAAATACAGCTTTTGGTCGGACTAAAAGGTGCCCATACACCTTGCGAATATCGCACGATAATCACGGGAAATCCCGCGATCGTACTATAATCGCAAGGTGTATGGAAGGCGTGCGACTGTTTTTACTGCACGGTCGCACGTCTTTTGTCAAACTAACAGGCTCGAAAACCCGCTGAGAATCGTACGATTCTCGGCGGGTTTCTAGCCTGCTTGTTCGACAACTGCGGAACGGGCCGGTGTGCGCACGCACACACTGCCCGTTCAGCATTGCGGTCATCGGAAGACCGCCCCTCAGAGAGGCTCGATGATCGCAAGTACGATCTGCCTGTCCAAGATGGGCAGATCGTGCAAGCTTTTAATAAGCTTACGACCATCGCAAGACTTTTGTCTTGCGATGGTTGTAAGGTGTATGGGCACCTTTATACTTGGGCTACACTTAACAGGGTTCAGATATGGTGCGCGCATCCTGGAAGGGTCATGGTTTAGGCTGAGAGAGGCTGGGCTTTGGAGTGTATAGGGCTGGTCTCTACCTTGGCAGAGACTTCTTGATTATAACACAGACATGTTTGTGCATGCTGTATGTAGGTGCAATGTTTTGAATTTGGTTTGAAACAGTTTTACGCAATGCACCATTTCATATAACTTCTATGGTAAGATTCTTGGAGGCTCAAGAGGATTTCCCATAAGTGACTTCATCCAATGGCAATCTAAACCCTTCTTATAGGGGACAAGCAAGATTGACCTTTTAATTTAGTGGAGGTCCATTACATAAGGATTGGTGGAGTCACAAAGTGGAATCATTCACATAGTGGTGGACACTATATGGATGTGATTTGGATATTGCTGCTTTATTGGAAAGCAGAAGAGCACTTGGTTGATGGACTAGTTGGACATGATTTTACTGTATAATATCTGTATAATATCGATAATTCACAAGTGCATTATGAGTTTGAGCACTGCACAAGTCTTTATACGGAGATATGCATCCTATTGATTATAAATGATCGGTATTAATAGAAGTAATTTAAAGAGAGACATTTACATATTTTAGCACAGCATCATGTTTGTATGCGTCTAGAAATTAGCATAAATTAGATAACGATCATTTTGATGAAACAAATCATACATATATTAGAAGTGAATGGCACTTGATAGGCAGTTCAATGAAAAAAAAAAAAGAAAAAAAAATGATTGCTTTCATCAAAACAAATAAATAAAAGAAGAAAAAAAGGAAGAAGAACAAATGATCCTGGCTAAAATTCCAATAAATGTTTAAGAAAAGGGATTTAATTCTTTTGGTTGAAGGAAACAATCATTTACAGGTCAAGGATAGTCTGAAACAATCAAATCTCGTATTACTTATGTGTATTTATTAGTATGTATATGGCCAGCATGGTACTTTTAAGACTTGACATCTTCCCAGGTTTATTTTCCTTCAGCTCTGTGGGAAAACGCAAAGCTATTCTGTCAATATAATGTGTGAAATTTGAAAAGGGTAGTAAAGAACAAAGGTGCACATTGTATGCCAGCAGTCTTTTCAGTTGGATGCTTAGGAGTCTAGTTATACATTTTTTCATCCAAGATTCACAATTTTCAACTAGGATTCACACTTTTTTCCAAATGGATTGCAAAGGAAATAGTGTGACTATTGAGTGAAAGTTGTGTTACTCTTGTGTAAAACGTATATAAATAGGCCCCTCTGTGTCATATTACAATTAAGGGTGTTGAGTAGGGTAGAGGTTTAGATCAGAAAGATAAAACCTGCTTCATTTCTTGTTTGACTTGCTTGACTGTAAAATGTATTGTTTAAACATGGGATGCACAGATAAACAGACATCAAAGAAGAAAACATGAAAAAAATGTGAAAGCGCATTTCACATACAGTGATAAGGTGGAATTTTGCTGACTATACCGGAACCAGGCACTGTCTGTGAGACGTAATCCTTACGTGGGGTATGTAAAGCACGCAGCATCTAAGTCTTTGTTATTTCGATCACAAGAGTGACTTCACATGTGTTAGTCGACTGAGTTCACACTTAAAGTAATATTACGGCCTAGGCGTTTTTTGCCTTAATGCATTCTCTGCATTAAGAAAAAAACACCCAGTACCTTTTGGACTCCCCTGTCCCCTCCTATACTTACCTGTCAGCTCCTCTGGTTCCTGCAGCGATCCTCCATCCCGAACTTCCTGGTTGCAGGGGAGGAGATTGAGGGCAGAGGAGCCATAGGTTCCTTCTGCCATCAATCAACCTGTTGGGCGGAGAGGAGAGTCATGGCCTGCCACAGGGCTGTGTGTGTCTATGGAGGGAACATGCAGGCACGGGTGCCTCCATAGCAGGTGCTTAGCTCAGGGTGGCACCCGCGTAGGGGACAGGGGAGACAGTGATGTGGTGACCCAACAGAAAATGAGGAATTTAAACATTTAAAAAACAAAATAGGAACAGATCTAGACATGATCTGTGCCTCCCTTATATACAAAGAAAAAAAAAAGGAAGGTTTAATGTCACTTTAAGGTATAGCAAATCTAAAAACGTTTTAATGCCAACAGGTTGAAAGTTAAAAAAATAGTGCATACAAGCACACCTGCAAATCGGTGTTAGGTTTTGCTTTATCCTTATTTTATATTACCCATATACTACCATGCAGTGTCTATTCTATTTACTTCCTTAGAAATAGTAGGAATGATGAAGGTTATGCTACCCTCTGGGGAAAGTGATGTAATTACTCCACAGGAAGTTCTCTGTAGGAACTATTTTTATTTTTTGTCAGAAACTGGGGGTGTAAGGGCAGATCTATCCCACCTCAATCCTCCTCTCTTGCTCTTTAATCAGCCAGTTGCTACTTGTCCTAATAAATGCAGCTGTCTATCAAATGAGAAGGCAGAACACACGGTGGAAGCCACATTGCTCTATACAGTGATATACTCTTTGCACTATGCAAATGTATGAGTATAATGACATACGAAGGTGTGGAAAGCTTATGACCTCTGAACTGTTCAGCCAGCAAAGATCAAGCCAAAAGGCCATCCTACGTCCTGCTGCTAAGTCTAGTCATCAGAATAGGAATAGAACTATTTAATTTAACCCTATACCATCTTTCAGAGTCTATTTCATTATTCCTCAGAATTAGTGGGATGCTTTGAAAGCGGTGCTACCCTTCAAGGCAGCCTGCACTATAGCTGAGAAATGTATTAAGAAAGTCACAAGATACATAGCCTTTCAGGTGTGCATGCATGCACTATTTTTAAGTTGCAAGTTTAAAGTGTTTGCATTGTAGTTCGGCTTAAAAGGATTTTCTGCTTTACCCAATCCCCAACAAACCTCTTGATTTTTAAAAATAAAAATGCAGTTTGATACAACATTCAGAATCTGCAGGTTTAACACTCTCACAGCTGTGGGCAGGCAGTCCTTCACTCTAAATGAGTTAAGTTTAATATATATATGTCTTGTTGTTCACGTGAGATCCGTCTTAGCTCTAGTGTTGCCATTCCTCACCTGCTCTGGTTTATGTTGTTGAAAACAGTTGTAGATCTGACTTAATCCAGCTCTGGTCAAAACAAATGAGGCCTGCTCATTGATCAGCGTGTCCAGGTGAGCTTCAATCTTGATGAAACAAAGGGAAAATAAAAACAAATTTGTACAGTTTCTTGTTGTCTTTGTATTCAATCTATGAAGCTTTCGGCTACAGGGGCTTGCATTACAGCAAGTGAACCCAGCGTTATAGAGAACCATTTACAAGTGGACTTAGGCAATAAACTAAAGATTCAATTTCAAATTATTCTGACCAATGAGGCTCATTTGTGAAAGTTTAACATTGGCCCCATTGTTTATACATACTTTGTGTCTGACTCTTCACCTGCAGTCAGGAGGTCACCTGAAGGTGCTATCCTCTCAACTGTCTGACTCATGTAATGGAACAGTGGGTTCAGACAGTTTCTAGAGCAAATCATCAGGTGAGCTCTCACCTTTTTATTCAAGCTACAGAGTAAGAAGCACTCTGCAGAAAAAGTGTTAGCTGGAGTTCAGATTTAAAGGGATATTAAACTCTCAGGTTTTTTTGCTACTACTGCTAGCAAGTATCTACTGCTAGCAAGCAGTAGAGATATGCAAAAACGTAAAAAAAACACAAACAAAAAACCTTTTCAAACAGGTTTAAACTTACCTGTGTCTTCGCCGCGCGCTCCCGTCCGAACATCTGAAGAGTCTCGGGGGGGCGAGGATTATCTTGGGGTGGCCGCATGCACACTTCAGATGTTCGGCCGGGAGACGAGGAGAGACACAAGGTAAGTCTATGGAGTAGCGTGCACCCGCACAGACAGCGTGGGACATGAGAGAAGAGGAGGACAGAGGAGTCAGCGCTTTACATTTACATCCTATAATCCCCTACATACCTTCATGCACAGTGTTGTGCTCCTTACATGTTTTACGTATTAGGGGCTCAGGCAGGGTGCCCAAGAAAAGCATCCTTAAAAGTGAGCTCATATTTAGCAGAATAATTTGGCTAAGGACGGGTGACATAGAACATTTTAGGCCTGTAGGATTTTATTTCCTGCATCATCCTCTGGCTACACAGGGTGACGATGAATATTTTGTTATTCACAAAAGTGGCTGAAATAAACTGCAATTGGACCTAAAAACAGCCCATATGTATGTATTCAACTGCACGATTAGCCGGAGCCATATATTTTTCCCACCCAAAATCATCTTGTGGAATATAAAAATGAACAAATGAAACTTGCCTGAAACTGCAGTATCTCCAGACGCTTATCAGTAAATTCAAACAAAGCAAGTGTGGTCTTCATTACATAAAGGCAGTTGACCATGTATGTGGCCATGTCAGCTGTCCCCAGGTTGCTGGCAGACACCGTACACATCTGTAGCAGAGGGTCCAGGACACAGGACAGCACCTAGAAGGAAGTTTAGGACACACAGAGCAGAACATTATGTGGCCTTTTCTTAGAGAGCAATTGATTCCCAATTATACTGGAGCACAGTGTTCTCTTCACACGCAAGTGATAAAGCAGCTGGCCAGTCGCATAAAACACAGCCGCTGGATCAGCACATACACTTATGTAAGGAATTAGTTCTACAGTAAATTATCCGAAGGAACACATAGACATTAAGAAGAAACAGCTCTCCATTGATGTAGCCATCAATACTTTGACATTTTGCTTTGTCCAGTATTCAGCAAAGTTTTGATGAACACTGCAAACGGCTTTCATCACAAAATCAATTGTGTTTATGGAGAATGACCATTCTGGATGTAGCTAAAGCGAAAACTTATTTTCATTAGTTATTAGTCTAGGGAAGAGTGAGAAATGTTGTCAGCATTTTTTTTATTTACTGTTATCTGTGTCCTCATTGTGGTGATTAACCCCTTCTATTCCTATTTGTAACCACTGTCTTTGGAAAGTGATGAAAAATCCCACATTTTGAGTGGTCACCCCAACAGGCAAAGAGTGGAAATCTTCTGACAGGGACACTTGTTCTGGTGGCAACTTACTGAGAGTGGATTTCCATCATTTTGTATTGTGTTTACAGGACAGGTACTGACAGTAAATCTGCCTACTGGAATACAGATGGTTAAAAAATGGTTTTGATCATTCCCTAAATTATACAGAGATAAAAAAAAGTTCTGGCTTTAGATATATAGAGGTGTACATGATATATTTGAGCCATGACAGGGGCAGTCTGGCTTCTACATATTTTTGGCCAAAGGTTTGTGCAACTAAAACCTCTGTTTTTAACGCATACTGTTGACAGGGTAACTTGTTTTGTTGCAGGCTAGCTGGCAGGTGGGGATTCTTTTTGTGTTTTGTATTGTTGTAAGCCTTTCCATGTGCACCCTGCTGCCAAGGCTGGTTATAAATGTTTGTGGTTACCATTTATTTCTAGTTTGACTATTTTTGATGTGGGGACGCACTGGGGGCCCCGGCGTGCATTATGGATTGCTGGGCCTCCAGTGCATCCCCACACCTTTTAAGGAGGAGTAGGCTACCTCCAGGTACACCTGCATTTAATTTATCGACTGCATTCATATGCTCCAACATGGAGACTCATGAATAGAGTTAGGACCACACTTTAAAGAGGAGCCTTGACAGGGCAGTGTGGCTTCTACATATTTTTGGCCAAAGGTTTGTGCAACTCAACCTCTGTTTTTAACGCATACTGTTGACAGGGTATCTTGTTTTGTTGCAGGCTAGCTGGCAGGTGTGCTGGGGCTTCTTTTTGTGCTTTGATATATTTACCTGGACAAAGTCTGCTTGTCGTGCATCCAGAGGAACAACAGAGGAGTCATGAGAAACCAGAACTTCCCGTAGTAGGGTGAGTGTTTGATTCAGGGCAGAACTTGGACCTAGATCTGCAGGAGGCAACTCCACCTTGAAAGATATAAAAGTAAGCAGCAGTTCTCTTAATGATTGCAATTTTTTCTACATTGGCATTGTAACAATATATACTCATTTTTACAATTAATAGGTAAAACATTACAAGCAAAACCATGCAGTTGTTAAAGCAGATATCCAGGACTTTCAAAAGGTAACCCTTGCAGTAAGGCTACCCCCACACTGCAAGGGTTATCTGCTCGCTTTGGTCTAGGGAACGAAATAAAGAAGATACATTCACCTGATCTTCGATTCTGTGGCAGTAACCTGCTGACCTCTCTCCCCCTCCGCCCTGTGTGTTATGTGCCTCGGCATCCTCAGGTCTAATGCAAGTAAGACCAGATGCGTAGACGTGATGACATCAACATGGCTTAGATCAGGCCTCAAAATTTCCACTCGCCCCCTCGCAATTGGCGAGTAAAAAATGCGGGGGGCGAGTGGAATGTCAGAGATAGGGTGCGCCGCCGGCGGGACCAGGGATGGGACACTACCGCCGCGGTGATCGCTCGCTTCTGTTCTTTCTTTCTCGGCTGCTGCAGCTACAGAGCGGCCGAGAAGAGAGAACAGAAGCGAACGATCACCGCGGCAGTAGTGTCACATCCAGAGCTAGAAGCGAACGATCACCGCGGCAGTAGTATCACATCCAGAGCCAGAAGCGAACGATCACCGCGGCAGTAGTGTCACATCCAGAGCCGGCACTAGCTCTCTGCGATTCCTCTCTCTGCTCCCCTCTCGCTGCAGCTTCAGCTCCACGAAGCGGGCACTCAGAGGCGGCTCTGCACGGGTTAGCCGCCACTGCAAGGGTTAGCTTTTGAAAATCCTGGAGTTAAACAATGGAATATTCAAGCTCCAAGTCAAGGTAAACTGTAATTAACTGTTATTGCACGGCCCTCTATTCTTTTCTTTGCTCCTCTATAAATGTACAGAGGAGAAAACAAACTCAGATTAATCTTATATCAGCAAGGACATTAAGTATAAAATCTCTAGCAGCGGAAGTCTGAAGGAGTACAGCACATCAGCGTCCTCTGCCCCCTTGAGTTCTAAAGGTCTGCGCGTTTCAGGGGCATGCCCCTTCATCAGGAGGTTCTGATGAAGGGGACGTGCCCCTGAAACGCGTAGACCTTTAGAACTCAAGGGGGCAGAGAACGCTGATGTGCTGTACTCCTTCAGACTTCCGCTGCTAGAGATTTTATACTTCATTACTATTTGTATGCTTTTAACCACCGACTTTCCTGTAAGTACATTTTTATTTGCGCGTTGTACAAATAAATTACACTTTTACACTATGGAAGCGCTCTGTCTTGTCCCTTGTTTCCTAGATTGATGGTCTTTTTGACCAGTGAGAGCTGCCTTTTGAGTGTTTAAGCCAACTTCACAACCAGCCCATCTTGCAACCAGAGGCGCCGGTATTGTTTTTTTCGTTATATCAGCAAGATCATACTCTCTAATTGCAGGGATAGAAATGTAGAAATGTACTACAAGCTTTACTACTGCTCAGTTACAATCATACTAGACAACTATAGAAAAGGAGAAGAAGGTTTATTGTCCACTCAAATAGTTATGTTATTCTCTACACTGAATCCTCAAAAACACATCTAGTAACATCACCTCCTTCCTTTATAGCACAGTCTGCAGCACAGTATACAACATAACCATCTGGTTGTAAAACTACAGAAGCTTAGCGTTCTACAATGCCACACAATACTTGGAGATACTAGTGACCATTTACCACTTGTGTATCAAGGTAGATTGATTTGGTAGTATAATGAAGATACATAGGCCCAATCAAATTACACCCATCTGTTCCACTGTTATACCGTCCAACTATCAAAACGAATAAACAATTCAATAACTCAGCACAGGGATGATACATATCACCTGCACATTTCCAGTCGGCAGAAGCCAATAATATTTATGAATAAAAGTTAAAGTAAAAGTAGAGCTAGAAACTTTGGGAGACTTTGCCCTTATAACAACCCATGGCATCCAGATATGGTTGAGCATGCAAAACAATGTACAGAGGCGCTAACAAATAAGTATTATGTTTTTCTTTTTTAATACTATGATGATATCAGACAATCACAGCAATAAACTGAGGCACACTGCAATCTTCAAACTGCAGTGGCAGCTGCAAGCTTATTTTGTGGACGAAACCTCCAGCCTCCATATTATCATTCTGTCAAAGTGATCACATGATTGGTAACCACTGTGATTAGTTCCTGACTGGTAGTAGAAAATGAAGCTGTCAGCTTCTACCTGTCAAATGAGAGATGTGAGCTCGAAACATTGTGCAGTGAAACGTTACTCTACACAATGTGAGTGGGAAGAGGGTAAACCATTTTCTGAACTTGAAGTTACTAAGTAATCCGATTAAATCTTTTGTTTCTAGAACTAAACCAACCACTTTGAGTTGTCATGCCTTTTCCATAGGAGAAAGGACTTCTCAGTATATGGCATTTGTGAATGAAAAGTCTTTAAGTGAAGGCCCCACAGATTAAGGTTTCAAAGCACCATGGGGATTTTAAAGAACCATAACACCTGTCCAAGGACCTCATATGAACATGAGTGATGGTTGTGCTCAGCATGGCAAGTAACACAGATAGCTGTGCAAGAAAATTCACTAGTAGAATATACATCAAATTTACAGGGATTGCATGCTAATTTTAAACGCAATGTACTGATTCTTTGTGTGTGTATATATATATATATATATATATATATATATATATATATATATATATATATATATATATATATATATATATATATATATATATATATATATATATATATATATATATATATATATATATATATATATATATATATATATATATATATATATATATATATATATATATATATATATATATATATATATATATATATATATATATATATATATATATATATATATATATATATATATATATATATATATATATATATATATATATATATATATATATATATATATATATATATATATATATATATATATATATATATATATATATATATATATATATATATATATATATATATATATATATATATATATATATATATATATATATATATATATATATATATATATATATATATATATATATATATATATATATATATATATATATATATATATATATATATATATATATATATATATATATATATATATATATATATATATATATATATATATATATATATATATATATATATATATATATATATATATATATATATATATATATATATATATATATATATATATATATATATATATATATATATATATATATATATATATATATATATATATATATATATATATATATATATATATATATATATATATATATATATATATATATATATATATATATATATATATATATATATATATATATATATATATATATATATATATATATATATATATATATATATATATATATATATATATATATATATATATATATATATATATATATATATATATATATATATATATATATATATATATATATATATATATATATATATATATATATATATATATATATATATATATATATATATATATATATATATATATATATATATATATATATATATATATATATATATATATATATTTATTTTACTCACTGAACTGCAACTCAATTTATAACATTTGTATCATGTGTTTTTTCTGGATTTTTGGTTGATATTCTGTCTCTATCATTTAAAATACACCTCTGATAAAAACTATAGACCTTTCGTTTCTTTGCAAGTGAGCAAACATACAAAATCTGCAGGGGATCAAATCATTATTTTACTCATTGTATCATATATATAATTTCTTATCATGTCCCCTGCCAAAAATTAAAATATATACAATAATAATCTGATTACTTTTTAGTCAGGTAACATATGAATATTTAATAGGGATGCACAGATACTTTTTGAGTACCAGTGCAGATACTTGGCATTTTCATGAGAACTACCAGGGTTGCAGAGGTTGCAGCTGGGACCTGGCTCTGGCACTCCACCACTGTCCTGAAATCATTAGTCTGTTTTGTTTTAGAAAAACTGTCACATGACAATAAACAAAAATGTATCAGTACTTGTACTTGTAAGTACTCGGCAAGTACCAGTACTCGTACTCGCAAAACTGGTATCTGTGCATCACTTTATTTATAGTTATAAAAACTAAAATCGTACATTAAAACAGAGATGTACACATCCCAGGAGCTCTGTGTGCTCCTTACACATGACAGCTGCCTCCTAATTTTTGAATTTTCCTCTAGTGTAGTCTTGGAGCTCAAAAGTATCGGTACATGTACTTGTACCGAGTACTGTACTTGGTATCTGTGCAACCCTAATATTTAATATTTTCAACTTGCAGTCAATAGGTGACAACCTCAGCATTAGCTTTCTTGTGTTTGGGAAAATAACTACCCTAACAAAAACATAGAGCATGAAGGCCAGATTACACTTGATGGGTTACTCTGTGATAACCCCGGGGTCAAATCTGTTGCAGACTTTTTACTTCTCTTCTGCTGAATCGGTACACTCTTGAGCTCAAGATCTGAGAATCAACACAGACACAAAAGGTGTGCGCTATCCGCTCAATATTTAAAAAATGTATTCCGTGCGTTAATTATATGAAGAAGCATGGGGCGGTGGTCCAGCATTAACCAATCACAAATAAGAAGAGCATAACAACTGCTGCATACGAAATGGAAACTCTAGCTAGATAACGATGCCCATTAATTTCCTGTGAATTCATGTGCTTTCCAGTAACTCGAAACTCTCAAAGTTGTTACAGCTTAACAAATTACTATAGGACTCAGAGGAGTTACATACACCCTCTCCCTGTATCCCTACAAAAGGTGGTTTTGTCTGGCTTGGCCATTTATATACATTTACCCCGTATAAATATTTTATGCAAATAATTAAAAATTATAAAGCATGAGCTGATAATCACATCAGCTAGCCAAATCAGCTGAATTGATTCAGCTCCTGGGTGTATGCTCCTGTAAACACATTGCAGAACTGTGCTTTCACACTTTGTTGACATCGGAAGTGAAATGATGCCCCCACACTTTCTGATAGAATGGAGGCTGGGGCAGAGCTGAAGCAGCTCTGTTCAGCCTCTCCCTGCAGCAGTAGATCACTGCTATAGAGAGCTGCATAGGGAGCTAAATTAGGTATCCAATGACCAGATTCAGAACCCCAATAAGGTTACAAAAAAGGATATGAATACATTTAATAAAATTCATTAAAAAAAAAATCCCCTCATTATTTATCCTAGGGTCACACTGACTACACTAAATGTCCTGGGTGACGTTTGCATTTACTGCATAAGCAAGTGTAATGTCATTTATATTTTGAATTAATTTAGCGCACCTTAACACATTAAAAACCAGTCATGAGGTTTTTTTTAAACCTCAGCATGGGCATTGTTGTGCGCTGCAGTATGAGTGCTTTGTCTAATACTGTAACAGTAAGGTTGTCATGTCTTTCAAAACAAATGTCACCACAATGTATGCACAGTGGTGCTCAGGTTCTCATGTATTGTGGTAAAGCCTGGTAAGACATATTTTACCGTCTGTTAACATGACACAAATTAATGAAAACTATTGTTGCCCCCTGGACATGCCCCCTGTGTTCATTAACTGACCACCACTGACGTACACTACATTTTTAGTGATTGGCCCACTTCAATGTACATCCTGAACAGAAATATTCCCACTAAGGTATAATACAAGAATCAGACCGTGTTTCATTAACTTCTTTATTTGGATAGGTAATGAAACACAAATATTTCATTTTCATCTATTTTCGTCAGACTTGCATAAAGGTAAACGAAGAAGCAAAACTTGAGTTCACAAGCTTTATATGGCATCAGCATCGTGCAATGTAAGGGTGAAAACATCATCCTATTGCTGGCTTAAATTAAAGTCAAAATACCCCTGAACACGACACAGAACAAGACTAGGAACAGCTCGTTCAGAGTACAATCAATACCAGTAATACTAGACGGATGCTCGGTTTGTATCATCAGCTACACTGACATCTAAACACACACCATATGCAGAAGTAATAAAAAATGAAGAAAAAAAATAACCAAAACAGCTAATACAGTGAACACCATGAACGCTGCTCATTTTGATCAGTCTTCAAAAGGAAAATTATATAATCTAATGCTTCAAATAATATTCTGTTCGACATTTTCAGTACAATAACACTTTTGTTAATCAAATGGATTGCTTTCACAAGAACATTATCAAATGGAATAATTAATTATCGGACATCCAAAACACAACGTACGTGGATTCATTGCACTTATCAACTGTGAACAAAAGTTGAGAATCTGAAGCAGTTTTATTTGCCTCAAGATCAGATGGTGAGTTGGGAGTGTTTAGAATCAGTCAGGTTTTTACTATTTGGAACCTCACATCAGCAGCGTGCAATACTACCCTGCCACGGGTGTGCACTGTAAGGAACATTGTGCAAAGTGCCGTTTACAGCGCATCACACGGTTTACCTTTTTTTCCTTACTTTATTGAAGTGTCACAAAGTGACAATCAATTTATTTCTCTTCACTTCATTGCCATGTGGTGAAGTGCATTGCAAAAAAAGTACTGCAAACCCTAATTTTTTCAGCGTGCACCAGCGCAGCACAGTAGGCTAACATAACATCGGAGGACACCAGGAAAATTGCCTGGTTAAGCCCTGGGACTGCACAGGTCAACAATGCCTAGTGCAACACAATACATCTGCGGTAAACAGGCCCTAAGTGAGATTCTGCCTTCATGTCCCCCCAACAATGGTTTCACCAGACAGGAAGTGAGAGAAGACTGCAAAAGGGACACAGACGGCAATACAATTCTTACAGACCTTTCCCTAGTGTACTAAAGAAGCATTTTTTTTCTGCCTGTGTTGCCATCTGAGAATTACCATAACTTCCTGTCTAGTGAAAACCTTGTCAACAAAATGTCTTAAAATCACCAAATAAAGCTAATTAGCCCTTCTACTTTTTTACAGTGGTAAAGGGGCCTTACACATGTAATCCTGAAAAATATTTTGCCTGTTCCCACTATTTTGTTTCTACAATGCTGACCGACAGACCAGTCTATAAAGAGCAAAAGAAGGCCGATGTTTTTAATCAAACTGATATATAATTCTGAGAACTCCTCACTACTGCACTGGACTGCATACACAATATTGTTCATCTTGTGTTTTGGCGTTGGGTCTTTTGGGTGAACCAGTTGTTGCCTCAGTATATTGCTGGGTTTAAAGCAGACAGGGATGTGATGTTTTTTTAAAAACCCTTCTGAGTTTCTCAGACATCCCAGCTACATATGGGATGACCAAATTCTTCAGTTTGTCATGCTTTCCCCCCTTACTGGTACTCTTGGCATTCTTTCATCTCCTTTTTTCTGTTTTGACAAAAGCCCAGTCTGGATACCCGCAAGTTTTAAGGGCCCCCCTGAAGTGTTTGAATTCCTTCGTCTTGGCCTCTGTTCTGGTGGGAATTTTCTCTGCCTGGTGTAGAGTGCTGATGACTCCCAGTTTGTGGTCTAAAAGGTGGTGGGAGTCAAATAGCAGGAACTGGTCTGTGTGTGTTACTAAACAATCCAAAAAAGCCTGTTTGTTGTTTTGCATATCTTCCCCCGTAAGCTTGATGTAATGATCCACTGAGTTGATATGGTCAGTGAAAGCCATGGATTGGAGCAACATTCACCATATTTATTCCCAGATAATTTTTGTACAAGTCATTCTGAATTGAGAAAGCTGGTTAGATGACCAGAGAAACGTCTTCAAGAAAAATAAAGCAAGTTGCCTTGACTTATTTTTTACAGATATACTCTAATCACTTAGATATTGGCTAGGTTGACCACCATAATACTGAGGATTATAAATGCAGCAATTGTGTCTGCATTGTCCCTCGGCTTCATAAATATGCCTCTAATGGTTACAATGTAGCTGATAGAATGTACAGAAAATTAATTCACTCTAAAATAATCAATATCTAAAATGCCATTAAGAAAAAATCAACAGAGATCTCAAAATGGATCATTGTTTAGCTTCAAGGTGATTACAATGATGATATTTTTGTCTACACAGTACGAGGTGTATAAAACAAGTACATACAGCACACTGAAGCAGCATCTGTCCTTACCTTGTCTATCAGTTTACTTGCATGTAAGGTCAGACTGTTGAAAAAGATCTTTTTGCTTAATAAATGCATTTCTTCTATTGTAGTCAGCAGTGTCGATGCGCTTGTGCCAACAATGGCACTAGAAGAGAAAAGAATTTGAAGAGTTTTCTCATATAAAAGCAGTATCTAGTGGTTCAATGAAAAATATCTTTCAGCATAAATTGTAACAGGAGCATGGTTTGTGTAAAACTGCATACACATTTCTGTAATTCAGAAAATATTTCAAGGCAAAAAAAAAAAAAGTTGACAAAATAATGATTTACAGAAAAATTCCAGATTCTGCCAAAAGTTCAAAATTTAACAGGGGGATCTGCCTGAATACACAAACAAATTGTGTCGGCTCCTACCGGTCATATAACAGTGATATGTTCAACACCATATAATAGATCAGTCAGTAGGATGCAAGGTTTAAAGTGGCACTAAACTCAGGAATTAAATCTTAAAAACGCATTGAAGTACCTTAACTATTAACAAAACTTTCTTTGTACTTTATTTGTGTATCACTCGGCTGTATATCCTCAAATCATCTCTGAATTGGTGCCGACACTGTCCTTCCTTCTGGAAGGTGACTACTTTTGTTCCCCATGGTACCTGTGTGTGTTGTAAAGTAGTCACCGCTCCAAGCTCACTCCTGTGATAGACTACAATCTCATGTTTACTTTACTAATTTGTAGTGAGGTTGTAGTCTATTTTGGGAGGGATGTCTATTAATCACACCCCTAATGAAGTCACGCCGCTCTTGACGTAACGTACGTATGGTGGAGTATAGGAGCTGAGCGATTGCACACAGTGTCTGTGGCTGCTTACTAAAAACCTTACTTTTATCTATGATATGTGAGTAGTATCCTTTTTTAATAAAGTTTAGTATCTTTTTAAAACCATCTGCACTACGAGTTTCCACTTTTTGTTTGATGCTTGGTCCATTTGGATGAATTGTCTGCTTTCAACTCCTGAGACTGCAACGAGAGTCTGTACCTGAGATGAGGAAATCACTGGGAGGTGTTCGGCATCAGGTGCTTCTTCTACCTGGTTTGAATTAGAGGAACAGCGCATACAGACCCTGGTGGGTCTCTGCTAAAGGTGAGGTGCATTACAGAAGATTTCTCTGTTGATGGTCACAGGAGACTGAGATTATTTTACATCCACTGTTTTATCTTCTATTTTCTTAATAGACTATTGAAGATCCAGGATCATGGACATTTTTTTAACCATTTATTATTACACGGCCAGTATCTACTATATCTGACACTTTTGTAGATTCATTCACACAGCGCGGCTTCTATTATTAATTTTATGTCTATTAATCCGATCACCTTCTTCTTTCCTATAGTTTTCAGCCTTCTCTCCAGCACTGCTGCGGGTCTCTGATCCAGCGCTGACTCCTCTGTGCTTGCTGGCACTTCCTGTCCCACCGTGTCTGCATGCGGGTGCACGCGTCCATAGACTTACCTTGCGTCTCTCCTCGTCTCCCGGCCGAAAATCCAAACTGCGCATGCGTCCACCCCAAGATGCTTTGCGGCCGCTGGAGAATTTTCAGATTTTCTGACGGGAGCACGCGGGAAGACACAGGTAATTATTGACCTCTTTTAAAGCGTTTTTTATTTTTATTTTTAAAAAACTTTTTGCATATAACTACTGCTTGCTAGCAGTAGATATATGTGAAAAAGTGAGGGTTTAGAAACCCTTTAACCCCTTCATGACTGAGCTTGTTTTTAGTTTCTGTTCATAAATGACTGACACACTTTTGACATTTTTGCTGTGTGATTCTTCCACGTCAGTAATATACTTTCTTACAAAGTGCACCCACACATATTAATGACGAGTCATTTGGTCCCATTGTCACGAAGGGGTTAATTATTGGAATCAAAAATTATTTGTATAATTGAACTTTAAAAAGGTGCCAAAAAAAACTAAAATGTACTTAAATCCCAGTTTTTATGTTATTTAATGTCTGTTATATATTTTGTACAATAACTTACTTTTTTTTGTTTGGCACCTTTAAAGTCCTACATACAATGTCATACAAATATTTTCCATTCCAACAAAACTTTTTAGTTTGTGTTCGGGTTTAGTTGCACATTACAGTAAATATTACAAAGAGTTAAAAATTGATGGTCACAGAAAACACTATTTAGTTTGGTTTCAAGCACTTACCTTATTGTGTGGTGGTAAAATTTCAGAAGATTGGAGATTTTATACAACAGCACTGCACCTGGCTCAGCAATGATAACCTGTTCTATACGAACCTTCCAAAGAAAAGAAAAAAAGAACACAAAGCAAGATATTCACATTATTCACATATACCGACATGACAAAAAAAAAAACACAGGTTAAAACCTAAGGCAAACCGACATCTTTAGAGTATCTAATCTGAGACAGCCCTGTGCTCTGGTAGTACACCATTATTGTACACATTATAGAATACAATACTGAGTTTAGGGTACTCAGACTGCATGCCATGTGGAAATCACTATTGGTCTCTCTCTAGCCATTGATTCTTAGTAATCCATTGAATAGTCCTCTTCCTATGACAATTCATTGGGTTTCCATGGCTTCTGGTCTGTATGGAAATGACTGCCAGGGCAGACCAGGGCCAGTTTACCCACCAACATGTTTTTAGATTTTAAGAAGAAAGAAAAACATCTGTAGAAAACACATGCATTGAGAGAACATGCAAACTCCATGCATACAATATCCCTTGTGGGAAAGAAAACCAAGACCCCAGTACTGCAATACAAAGTACAAATCACTGAAAGTTTATGCTTTAAAGCCTAATGCCAGCCAAGACTTGAATTTCTTGTAGGATAGACCAAGAAAGGGTGAGAGCTTCGGTCGGGTTTTTATATTTGTCTGCGTCCATGCAAGTGTGCTTTCTCCTTACTGCCTGCCACAACAGAATGCATCTCCAAAAGGGACACAAACAAAACCAAATTTTGCTATCCGCTATCTGTGTCTTCCTGTCCTGGCGACGACATCTCTTCCCATTATCTGTCTTGTCACAGGAAGTAATATCCCCTCGATTACGTAACAGAAAAATGAAGCCATCTGTGCTGGCACTTGGATTCGACTTGCTAGCTTCTAAATTCTACAATAATCTGTCCTCTACCCTCAAAAGATCAGCCGCACAGAACCAGAATTAATGCAATCCAAACGTTTATTGAAATAATCCAAACAGATTCCAAAAAAGTAAATCCAAGAGAATTGAACAGCATGTACATCACCATAAGCATCTCCCACACCACGCCAACGCCTCCAACGTGTTGATTGCACTCATTCAGGTTCTGTGCGGCTGATGTATTGAGGATTCTTTTGAACAAGTGGGAAGCACAATATAGCCTGCACCCAGAATGTGGACTGATCGCAGCGGAACTTAGAATGGAGCAGTGAGTCTATGGCGCTTTCCTGTCCTCTACCCTGTTGTAAAACATCAATGCGCCTATAGTCGTCTTATTTTAAAGCTGCACAAGGGTCCTGTACACATCATAAGTGTCTAACACTGGATAACATACCCAGAGTCAGCATGTAATGCTGCATTCAGAAACCTCAGGCCACCAAAGTGATTCTTTATCTATTTAAGTCACACTATGACCTATAATAAACCGCATCTTAAAGTGTATTTCCATTTTTATATTTGTTACATGTTCCCATTTAAATAGCGCAATTAAAAAAAATAATATTTAAAAATTGCAGCTTACTTTTTTTAGATGTTCCATTCTGGAAACTAAGATTGCAAATCCTGCTTAGTTGTCTCTGTCCGGGGTGTTGGGGAAGTTTTTTTTCTTCAAATAAATAACTCTGTCTGTACTGTGCTGGCAGATTTCATTATCACTACGTGACCAGGACTGTCTGTCCTAACAAATGGTTAAAGATACCATTGTATGGTAATGCAAAAAAAAAAAAAAGAAGGTAATAAAAAGGGTTTTTTTCTATTATTTTTTGGTATGCCATATAAATGGAGATACAATACCAAATATAGAGGGGCGTCCTCCTCAACTTTGACTGCAAAAGTGAAAATGCACTTTAAAGTAGTAATACACTTGTTCTCAGCAATGAGCCCAGATCAAACAAATACACATTGTCCAGCAAGTATTTCTTTACATCTCTGTCCAAGCACTTACAGCCATCATCTTTCCAAACAGCTCCAATTCTCTCAGCTCAGCTTTCCTGAACTTCCTGTTGGTTTTCAAGATCGGACAGGTCTGTCTCCAGCAGCTAGCTAGGGCTGCAACAACTAATCGACATAATCGATTATAATCGATTATTGAAAAAGTTGTCAACTTTTTCAATAATCGATTAATCGGCTTCCGATCAGTTGGCCCTGTTCACGGCTCCACACACGCTGCGCGCCGCACCTCCTCCCCAAATCACGCTCATCGCTGCCAGACCCGCCCACCCGCATCCACGCTTTACACGACGCACCTCCTTCCCGCCTCACGCTCACCGCCCGCCCACATCCACAGGGACGCGGGGAGATGTAGTAAGGAGGAGCAGGTGTGGGGGGATGACAGCCGTCGACAGACAGACCCAATCTCAGAAGCAAGTTGCTGGAAGACTGCTCAGGTAAGCCTGCACTTTCCCCCACATGGTGCTCTATAATGTATTGCTGGGATTTGTAGTCCTCTATAGCTGATGGTACATTGTGCTGTATATTATACATAGGAATACAAATCCCAGCAATACATTATACACTGTATGTATAATGTACTATTGCTGGGATTTGTTGTACTCCTCTATAGCTGGTGCTATACTGCGCTGTATAGAGGACTACAAATCCCAGCAATAATACATTATACAGCACCATGCGGAATTCCACCAGCTATAGAGGAGCACAACAAATCCCATCAATAGTACATTATACAGTGGTGCAATGCCGAATACCACTAGCTATAGAGGACTACAAAACCCAGCAACAGTACATTATACAGCGCAATGCAGAATACCGCCAGCTATAATGTAATATTGCTGGGATTTGCTGTACTCCTCTATAGTTGGTTATATTCTGCATTGCGCTGTATAACGTACTATAGCTGGGATTTGTAGTCCTCTATAGCCGGTGCCATTTTGCATTCATTGCTGTATAATTTTACACTTTCCATTTCACTATTTTGCACACCACACTATTTTTTTTCTTTTTTACTTCCACCGCTCCAAGCTTGCTCCTGTGATGGACTACAACCTCAATACAAACTAGTAGTCCCTTCACTGGAGCCATTTTTTAAAATGTATTTTATTGTTTATCCGATTAACCGATTAATCGAACTTAATAATCGGCTAACTAATCGATTTTGAAAATAATCGTTAGCTGCAGCTCTACAGCTAGCCATGTACTAGTTTGCAGGAGAGAGGAGTGGAGTGCAGGGAGGAGGAGAGTGGTTTGCCTTGCTGTGTCTGTGTGTTTGTGGAGACACATACAGTACACTAGGACACACAAGGGTGACTCCATAGGATCCTGCAAGGGAAAGTAGCAACCCTAAAACAGGATATCAGGACCAGTGCTCAGGGGACCAGGCGATTCTGCAGGAAGCTAAAACTTTAAACATCAACGCAGAGCACCCATTGTAAGTGATTTAATCAGCATTTGAAAAAGCTTAAAAACATAGAGTTTTGACTGTCACTTTCCAAATGCTTTCCACTTCTAATCAAAATGCTTAGATTGTCTTCCCTAATTTGTCAGCAGTGATATTTTTGCAAACATTTATCAAAATATAACTTGTAGTCCTTTTATGTAATTTGGGTGATAATATTATTAGTATTCGATATTTATGTAAGTGCTAGCTTTTATTTGATAGTTGATCATAGCTCACAAATCGCCAACAGTTAAGCTGGCCATACCCTGTGCGAAATTGTGCCCAGTTCTTGATAAACCACCCGAAATTCGCACAGCGGTGCCCCTGTCGGCACCCTTCCGGCAGAGTTATGGAAAAGGAAAAATTATAATGGTGTATGGCCAGCTTCAAGAAGCACAAATTATACAAAGCATGGAAAGCTTCTGCCTACCAAACCCGCGACAAAGCCAAACCCATTGGGCATGTCAAAGCTGCATTCCTTTAAATGAAGATTCCCACCAGCTGTGTGAACAATGCTATTTCTATGCACACAAATATAACCTTGAATGTGACTGCGTTATCATTCTTCAATTAAACTGGACAAGCAGCAATGACAATTTAAATAAAAGGACGATAGCATTAGAATGTGGCCTTCTGCGGTTTACAAAGAAATTGCTTTAAAAACATTTTGATTGGAACCACTTTGTTGTTTTCATCGGTCACCCAGTCACCAGTACAACAAACGATGGGAAAATATGTATGTTCTGTAAGTCTTGAACTATGACTGCAATATAATCAGGAACAAAGCTATGCTTAAAATGTAGATGGGTGAAAACAAGGCTACTGCCTTTTCAGTAGAATAAACCATAGTTTTCATGAAATTTGCATTATTTCAGTCTAATTCCTTCATATGTGTTATTTTTTTTAGATTACTTCTCATGAAAAAGAATGTTGGCAAGCTGAATCGCCTGCTTTGTGGATGGCAGTATTGTTTCCTCTAACACATGCTTATGTTTAATGAAAATGTATAGGTTTAGCCAATATAGCAATGCATGGTGTAACAATGATCCACACAAAGTCACCGAGAGCAACCAAGCACATTTTAGTTTCCAGCAGTCATATCAATGAACAAAACTTTTTATTGCTGGCTACACCGTCTATCCCAGTAACTACAATCAAAATTGACTCACTTATAACAGTCACAGTAAACCTGCAATTATTTTTTCAGAAATGATTTCCGAATGTGTCATAACCACTCCTCCTGAATGACTGGAGAGACTGCTCAAAGCAAACCTGTGCCCAAACCACAGAAACACCAACTGCAGTTCCAATGGTTATGACTGCACATACTGTAAGTACATTAAACATAGTTGTGTACTAGTCAAAAAAAAAAAAAAAAATTCTCTAGGGCTTCTGCACAAACCACAGTGCTGTGGGCGCTGCCATCTTGGATTATTATAGGAGAGCCAGGAAAGGATGTTAGATGTCAATCATTCTCCTCAGATCTTATACCTGTATTCTGCTCCTGATAATGTGAGCTCTCTGCAATACCTGGGAGTGACTTTGCAGGTTGGGATAGGGTATTAAATGACCCATGCCATTCCTCTTGCTATCCCATTTAAAGTGGATCTTTATCTCCTTTCACTAAAAATCACATCAGCATTCAGCTCTGCATACCGATTTAAAATCATCTCATATTCATTAGTTAAACAAACTTGTTTTTTATTTACTTACAAATAGAGCTCATCTAATTCCTGGTCCACTTCTGGCACAAAATGATGTAATTGTGTCAAATCACTACATCCTGGGAAGATTACATCAGCAGAGCATTGCTGGGAAATCTCAGGGAGAGGCATTTTCCTCCTCCAAGATTATGTGCATGGTCACATGTCCTAGTCACATGTGCCAGAGTTCCAGGAAGTAAAAGGAGAGCTAGTGATCTGCCCTTAGTAAACCTGGCCAATGTCAGAGGACTGGGATAGAAAATAAAAATAAGGTATGCAAAGAATGCAAAGCCGGCAATTATCTAGAAGTATGTGTTTGTAGATTGTCATTACTAAACATTTCTAAAGGTGTGTTCATTGATGATTTAAAGATATGGGTAAAGGTCCACTTTAACAGTACCTGGACATAGAGGCGATTGTAAACGTATTGCTTCTGCTCTCATATCACAACTATTTAGCAATCCCTAGACAGCAGCTGTGAAAATTCTGTGTAAATTCAACTTTACCTTCAGAAGTTGGATCTGCAATCCGTTAAACAAAACGTTTCATCCCTGTATCATCATAACCTGTCAGCAACGGCTTCTTTGTTATGATGAATGATTTTAAATACAATGTTGCTACAAGTTCAATGCACAGCCACAAGAACATTTCGGCATGTGAATAGAGGAGAGTAGCAGAAAGGCAAAGCCCCCACTTTTCTCAAAGGCGATATGTTAGAATGTACTCCTAACTTCCTCAGAATGGTATATCTAAGATGCTGTGCGCTGAGCACACTGTATATTACTGGACTGGATATTACTATTTTGGGGAGAGAAACATAATTAAAAAGGCCAACTCCAGGAGCAATGAGTAAGATAACTATTACTCCTTATACTTCTACCACTAGATTTAACAAGCAATGACGCCCATTGCAAGGGTTGTTATGTCTTGTACCCAGAGTTGGGCTTTAAGAGTTGCGAAAAGGTGATTCAGAAATGATTTACCTTCAGTGGTCTGCAGACACCCTCAGTGATATGTCCAACTACTTCCTGGATATTATCCTCCACCCCTGCAATAAATGAGAAACAATACAAATCCTAATGTCCATTCCGCTCTAGAGAAATAGCTAAATACAAAACTGAAACAAATTAAAAAATAAACGGTATCATTATTCTGAGGTTTGCAGACCCACGCACCCCAGCTGTTCTATAGTATATGGCTGCCAACTGACACAAGCAACAGCATTCTGTAGTTATGCCACTGCCAGACAGTCAGTAAAGCTGGAGAGGGACAATCCTATAGTCATGTCTGCTGATCTCATCATCTTTATACTTCAGTCTTCCACTAATTTCTCCCCTTTAAAAAGTCTGAGAGCAAGGGCATACAAAGCCATTGCAAAAAAACAAAGTTACAATATGCAGAGGGAGCAATATGACTAGTGTATATAGTGCAGCAGAGGGTGCAGGAAGATGGAGAGGCAGCAAATAAAAAGAGGAAGATAATTGTTAGTAAGGGGAGCAGAGATGCAACATTTATTAAGGCAAAAGTAGATTGCCTTCTGCAGTACAGCTTTAAAGGCGAAGAAAAGGAGGAACACACACAAGGATACTTGCAGGTTCATGCTTCAAGCCTGAAGGGTAATATCTTTAAATTAGGTATGTCACAAGACCCATAAAGACCCCCTACATTGACACGGTGGTGGAGTTTGTAGAGTGAAATCGAAGACCGATAAAAGGGGGGGGGGTAGGGCCACCCATGTTATGAGGGTAAATGTATAGGACTCAGACAAAAAAGGTATAGCTTGTTGGTGATGGGAATAGCACCACCAACCCTAAAAGCTGAAGTGTAATGTATGCATATAATACCTTCTCTTCTAAACAGCCCTTTTGAAACCTAATGATGACATTACTTTGCCTGCTGCTCCTTGCTCTGAGTATGGAGGGAGGAGCCAGTAGGCTCCCATAAATATCTCAGCTTGCTGCCTCAGATCTTCTTTCAAGAGCATCATATGAAGAAAAAAAACCACATCTCCAGCATCTCCTCTAGATCTGCCTTCTTTCGGCTGCCCACTGGGTGTTGCAGACTCAAGCTGTGCACAGCCAATCAGTAGCTTGAGTTGATGGCAGAGAAAGACAAGAGATGTGTGTGTCTGTGTCTGTGTGTGTGTGTAGAGGGGTTTTGGGGTTGGGGGTATGTATTAGGGGGAGATTGCTGCTGCAGTAGCAGCTTTAAAGGGTTTTATTGTGAAGATGCAAGTTTGCAGGGAATTGAAAATAATCAGTTTCAACAAAGGACTTGATATAAGTGTGGAAAGAAAAGGAAAAGCTTTATTTTAGTATTAAAAAATAATAATAAAAAGTAAAAAAAAAAGAAGGAGAGAGAGAGAGAGAGAGAGAGAGAGAGAGAGAGAGAGAGAGAAACTTGCATTGACTAATTAAAACTGACCAAGTAAACTGTGTGTGAATTAAAACACTACCTAATATGTCTAATTAACAGAATGGGTTACGAGATAAGAAAATAATAATAATAATAATTATACTTTCCTTCTACAGTTGTTCTGGAAGCAACTGTATAATTTTAGATTTCCCTTCACTTTCTGTCCCAGGACAACAGTCACCAGGACAGAAAACTAAAGGGAATCTCCCAATAGAGAAAATATATAGAGGCAACAATAGTGACCTGATGGAGATCCTAATTCTTCCCCACTCTAATCAGAAAGACCAAAAAAACTGAGATACCGTTAAGATTTTCCAGCGTTACCTTGGATGTTGACATGCCTAAGAAGAGATTCCAGGTGCTCTTTCTCAGATGCAGTAGCTTGGTGCAGCCAGGCCAACATATCCCCAACATACCTTTTTAGTGGAGAAAAAAAAAAGAAAAAAAAAGTTACCCTGTTTACATAAAACATACAAAACCTCACATACATCCTGAAATTTTATTTTAGAATATGCCGTGAATTGCAATATTTTTTACATGGCCTTATTTATCACAACCTTGTGTACCTGGCACCTACTAAGCAGCCCTACCGCTGGCTTGTCGTCTGTCATGTGCCCCCTCATTCCTGTTCATTGGTGTGCTCTACCTTCTGCTCAACTATCTGCCAACCAGTTGCTCATCTTTCTCCTTGTCCCAACTATACTTTGCACTCCTTTTCATAAAATAAAGCGTGTGTGTGCTCTTATTTGGTGAATAAGGGCAAATCTTTCTCTGTGTGTGCCCTCATTTGGGGGATAAGGATGAAGCTTTTCCCTGAGATTTTCAGAAAATTAGTATGCATCACATTATGATTTGAGTGCAGGTGTACATGTTTGTTGGTAGTGATGATATTCTTTAAATACCTCAAGGGATCATGAGAATGCATCTCAATAGGTCTGGGGGTACCAGCAGGCCCACCTCTGGTGAGTGCATCAATAAAACCACGCACCACAGCACTCCTTCTCGCTGTACCAAATTCATCCAATGTGTATCTGCCAACAAGACATAACTTTCAAGGGTTAGTCAAAATTATTACCATCACACAGAATTTACAAAGCGCCAGCAAAGTTTGCACAGCACTTTAAGAAAATGTAGGGAGACAGTACAGTTACAATACAATTCAAGACAAGGGTTAGGAGGGATGTCCATATAACACTTTTCAACTACCCATAGTATATTTGAGCCCTGAACAAACCCACATCTCTCTGACAGTATGAAGAACTATGTTGCTGCTGATTATCCCTTCTGAACATTTTGTCCCTGGTAGGTTTTGGTCCAACAGCAACCACTAGGGACATGCTGGTGTGGTAACAGATTATGTGACAACAGTGGCTTTTATTATTAAAAACATGTATTTATAGTATTCCCCTATCTATGTTATACTGGTAATCCTGCAAATAACCCACTTTCTGTCCCTTAGTGGCTCACTCCTCCACTGTATCTATGGAGGGAGCCATGGTTGTCACTCATAGGAAAGTGTAGATGCCAGCTGCCCACCAAACAGCGCTGGGACCAAGTAGAGTAAGCTGGTGCTCATAGAGATATTCAAGGATGGTGCCTGGTGAATCTACAGAAGAAGACGAGAAGAAGTCGCCAGCAATCAGTGCTTTAAGATGCAAATGTTCTGTCAAATTAATAAAAAGTCACATTAGTCCAATAAGACAACGTTTTGGGGCCACGCAGGGTCCCTCCTTTAGGGTGACATGGCTTAGTTGACTAATGTGACATCATATTAATAAATGGAGAGTACTTTTGTATCTTTAAGTACTGAATGCTGGTGACTTCTTCTATGGTTATCAACCAGGCTGGACCTCAAACATGTCTACCTTTTTTCGTCTCCATTGCATGGGGGGTGATGAAATTGGTAGTATACACAAGAATTATAGCAGTGTTTTTGCTTCCAATTTAGGTCACAGGACAAGGACACAGCATTTTGAGCAAGTTCAACAGGTATTTTCACTGCTTAATAAAAATGCTTTCTGCCTTAAAAATGAAAACTAAAGCAGACAATACATCTAAGATCTGGTAAGCTGCAACATATTAAAAAAAAAATTCTTGGGTTAAGATATACTTGATATCCGATATAACTCCATAACTCCGATCCTCATGTTTGGAAGAAAATAAGTGGCTTTCAAAATGTTCTTGCCAAGAACATAAATCGTAATCCATTAGTTACCAACTGGATTCAAACCTGCCCTGAAAGTTCGACTCTGACTGGGGGCTGTGAGGAAGCTATTCCAAGCCTTGTGTATCACCCAAACGGGCTAGTTCTTAGTTCAGTCCCTAGAGCCTCTCTCCCCCTCCTCTGCAGCGGTCTAAGAATCTTTGTGTCATCCTGTTCTATAAAGTGTATACACATGAGGACGCTGAGGAATATTCCACCTGTGCAGCGGAGGAGACTGGCTTCAGTGACCCGAGAAGCAGGGAGTAGGGCTCGGCATTTCAGGTGAGAATAATTTTTTTTTAGCACCTAGACAAAAATGAGCAGTCAACCCCTGTAGTGCGGGGGTAGCCACACTGCAAGTGTTATCACATTTTTTTTCCCTCTGAGTTCTTCTTTAACAAGTTTCTTGGGGGGTGGGCGGAGTAGGTGTGCTTTTATTTAAACTACGGCTGCGACTCTTTATTAAGAAATTCTGCAGGTGCATATTATACTATATTGCCAAAAGTATTGGGACACCCCTCCAAATCATTGGATTTAGGTGTACCCGCCCTGTGACGCCACTGGTGATAGGTTGCCACCTGCGCAATAAGTCCATCCGTGAAATTTCCTTGCTTTTAAATATTCCACGGTCACCTGTTAGTGGTATTATAACAAAGTGGAATCAACTGGGAATAACAGCAACTCAGCCAGGAAGTGGTAGACCACGTAAAATGACATAGCGCGGTCAGCGCATGGTGAAGCGCACAGTGCGCAGAAGTCGCCAACTGTCTGCAGCAATAGCTACAGACCTCAAAACTCCGTGTGGCTTTCAGACTGGCACAACAACAGTGCGTAGAGAGCTTCATGGAATGGGTTTCCATGGTGGAGCAGCTGCATCCAAGCCTTACATCACCAAGTGCAATGCAAAGCGTCAGATGCTGTGGTGTAAAGCACGCCGCCACTGGACTCTAGAGAGGTGGAGATGTGTTCTCTGGAGTGAGGAATCACGCTTCTCTGTCTGGGTTTGGCGGTTGCGAGGAGAACGGTACTTGCCTGACTGCATTGTGCCAAGTGTAAAGTTTGGTGGAGGGGTGATTATGGTATGGGGTTATTTTTCAGGGGTTGGGCTTGGCCCCTTGGTTCCAGTGAAGGGAACTCTTAAGACATCAGCATACCAAGACATTTTGGACAATTTCATGCTCCCAACTTTGTTGGAACAGTTTGGGGATGGCCACTTCCTGTTCCAACATGACTGCACACCAGTGCACAAAGCAAGGTCCATAAAGACATGGATAAACATGGATGAGCGAGTTTGGGGCGGAGGAGCTTGACTGGTCTGAGTTCTGACCTCAACCCGATAGAACACCTATCGGGGATGAATTAGAGCGGAGACTGCGAGCCCAGCCTTCTCGTCCAACATCAGTACCTGACCTCACAAATGTGCTTCTGGAAGAAAGGTCAAACATTCCCATAGACACACTCCTAAACCTTGTGGACACCTTCCCAGAAGAGTTGAAGCTGTTATAGCAGCAAAGGGTGGGCCAACTCAATATTGAACCCTACGGACTAAGACTGGGATGCCATTAAAGTTCATGTGCATGTAAAGGCAGGCGTCCCAATACTTTTGGCAATATAGTGTATATCAAGTGCACTGGTAATTTTTGTTTATCTCTAACCTCAGCTTTCCTTTCACTACACTATATTTATTTACTGTGCAAACCAACCTCATTTTATAGTTTAAAAATAAATAAAACAAAAAAAAAGTACATTACAAACGGCCTTGGAACAAAAAAATGATAGCTTTTAGCAAGATCTCTGCAATTTCATTGAGTATAAAAGGTTACAAGACAAGGTGTTATACCAATTTTACAAATTTCAGCTCTTTTTTATGCGTGGAGACAAATGACAATAAAAAAAGATTTTTTTCAATCGTAGCGTTATAAAAAGTTGAAGGGGGAGTGAAAAAGTGTAGACAGTAAATCCATTTGTGCTTTCATCACATAACAAGGACAGGCTAAATGACTCACATCATCTCCCTAGTAATTCCACCACTTGTCTACCTATTGTGATGTACCTTCATAAACAAGAGAATTTGTCAAACGTGAACCCCAGTTTATAAGAATTATCACAATTTCAGGTTCTCCAACTACCTTGTTGTGTGCGATAAGTTTTAAAAGGGCCAAAATGATGTGGCAAATGAACGATGTGAATCATGAGGTCACCACTTAGTAACCTTTAACAAAAAATGTACTTGACAGTCCATTAATAATGATCAAGTTGTCACAAAACAACGTTACTTGCCACCAAGAGTTGGGGGAAGGGGGGCATATTTAACGATCACAAGGGATCAAAAATGTGAAAAACTTGTGATGGCTGTTAAAGTGCCAATTTTATGACTGTACAGATATGGCAAAATAAAGAAGTGTACTATGAAATGATGGTTAAGCGGCTTCATTTACTAAACTACTCTTCAAATTCAACAGTATTGATCCAGTAAAATATATGGAAGTCTAAAAGAAAAAATTGACCCCGTCACCAAAGTGAAAGTACCCATTAACTGCCTCCGGGCTGGCCGTAGTAGAAAAACGGCCGGCCCAGAGCTCTCTAGATCTGAGTGGGCGTCTCTAGACGTCCGCTCAGACACGCCCCCTCGCGTGAGCGGGAAATTGCCGTTTTTTAAAAACAGTCAGCGATGCCTGATACCATACAAGCGATCCGCCGGCTTTAGAGCCGGCGGATCGCGTGTATGGGGTGCCGATCGGTGTGTGTCCCCCCCCCTCCGCGGCCCCCCCCGCCAAGTTGTTTGCATACCATTCAGCTTCAAAATATCATCTTTATTGGTATTACTTCAGCATGACATAAAAATGCAACTTTTTGGAAACGCAAAGGGTCCCTTCATCAGGAAAAGCAATATTCTGAAGCTGAATAGTGTGTGGACTACATATCCTCTAAATCAGTAGTTCTCAACCTGTGTAACCTCGGGACCCACAGTTGTCCTTAATTGTTAAGTCGTTACCCAAGTCGCATTGCAATGGAACAAACGGAATTGCATTACCGCGTATTCTGGTGTGGGCGACTGAACTGTGGGTGGGAGGTGCGTTTGGGGTGCCATTCAAATGAATGGCAACGCAACGCACCTCCTGCACCAGAGCGTGTAGTAGGTGCGATTGCGTTGTACAGTGCATTAATGTCACAGGACTGTTCGATTAATGGAATGTACTAGTGAGAACAGGCCCTCAAAAACACTGACAGAATAATCTCACACATATACTGTACATAGTCCAAAAAAAAAATGTTTTTTTCTTAAATATTAAGATCCACCCAGTTTCTCAAGCTTACGAGAACTGGAGTGGATCCTCAGCCTGGGGTCCAGTGTGGCCTTCTGTGCTGTGACGGAGCTCCATCCATATGTGCATTGCTTGTACAGCTGCCTTGTAGTGGTGCCAGGAACCAGAATGTAACGTCACTCCGGTCCAGGACATGTGAGGGAGCTGTAAGCAATGCATGCATGGTTGGAGCTCCCTAGAGGCCACAGCTCAAGCCCACCCCACCTCAAGCTAACACTGGGTGCCAGGCAACATATTTTCAATGGCTGCTTGGCGCAAGAACTGACAGTGCTACCTAGAGGGAGGCTGAGAAGCCATTCACCTAGAAAAGTGGAAAGCATGTGGCGACCCACTGAACAAGAGGTCACGACCCGCCAGTTGAGAACCAAGGCTCTAAAGCAGTTGTTCTCAACCTGTGTAACCTCGGGACCCCAGGTTAAGTCGGCACACGGCATTGCGGTATTGCATGAGCACAGATGCACACAACCACAGACACAAACTCACAGTCTCACATACACACTCC